TGTGCGAAGCAAAGGGGATCACGAATGCAGAAGAGGAGGGAGTAGAGGAAACGAGCGAAAATCGACAAACCGTCATTGTCCGATCTCTGTGGCGCGGCGTTGTAGATTCCTTAAGGTACGTGTTACCGATATCTCCTCCTTCTTTATACTCTTGTGGCTACGTTTTGACTACACACAGGTTAGATTTCACGAAGGACATGCACGCATTGGCGATGCTTCGAGACTCGAACGTAGCAAAGATGATTGCCTTGGTAGAGGAAGAACCGTTCGGTGCTGTTTTCGAGTACGGTCGGTTCGGCGATCTTCCGAGCTTTCTCGAGAACCACGGCGGCGGCCTGGCTGGCGACGAGATCGACATCGGGTAAGCGAATCGACGATGACGACCGATCCAGCCTCGACCGTCAATTTTCATTCTCTTCTACTCTCTTCTACGCAGTAACTACTTGAGCTTCGTTACTCAAATTGCATCTGGTATGAAGTATCTGGAATCCATGAACATTGCACACTGTGATTTAGCAGCCAGGTAAGTAAGTCTCTCATCGAGTTGATCGATCGATTCGACTTGAGATTCTCGCACACCGTGTGTGGTGCAAATGGTTTCAGAAATTGCATCGTTGGTCAAGACTTGAGTATAAAAGTGTCGGATCATGCCATATACTGTAATAAATACGACCATCATTACTTCATCGACGGACACAATGTAAAAATCCCTATTCGTTGGATGGCATGGGAAGCAGTTTTATTGGTAACTATAACACCAATTAATTTATCATTAAATCCTCTTTCAAATTAATTATCTTAAAACTAATTATCTAAAAATATAATTTTTTATAATTCATTTGTTCTTAAATATACTACACCTTGATTTAAAGTATTATTTTATAAAATATTTATATATATATATATTTTTTTTATAAGTTTAAATAACAATACATAAATTAAATTTAAGTATATATCCTATCGTGGATTATCAAATTAAATAACAAGTTTTCCTAAAAAGATTAGAAGGCCGCCATATTATTTTATTTCAATGATTTAACATTTAATAATAAAAACTTTTTTATGTATTAAAACAATAGGGTATCCAATCCAAAAGTTTATATATTCCATTTTTCATATTATAAATTATATTATATTTATTAATTCAAATTTCACCTAAACTTAATAATTTAAATGTAATTTATTCTCAAATAATATTAATAGAAATTCATTAACCATTAACTTGTAATAAAAGTTTAACCATTATCCTCTTCACCATCTCACTGTTTATCTGCTTTCTACTTTTTTGAATCCTCTCTCTTTCTCTCTCTCTCTCTCTCTCTCTCTCTCTCTTTTTCTCTGTCAACAGGGTAAACGCGGTTGTCGAGCTGACGTTTGGTCATTCGCTACAACGGTTTGGGAAATCTTTCAAAAATGTAAGGAGATACCGTACGCGGATTTAACGGTGGCGCAGATTCTGGAAAACTGTGGCCATTGCTACCAAAGCGAAACGTATCGTCGTGTCGACGATGGTGATCGACGGCGATACGACGACGACGACGACGACGACGACGACAACGACAACGACAACGACAACGACAACGACAACGACGACGACGAGGAGGAGGAGGAGAAAAGTCAACGTCAAATCCCTTCACGACCGGATCATTGTCCGGACGATCTTTACAACGTAATGAAGAAATGTTGGAGCACACGGATCGAGGAGAGGCCGAACTTTGAGGAAATTCACCGATACCTCGAGAGATTAGCCCTCGATTGAACGTTCGAGATACTCGAGACGATCGAGTAGCTCAGGACCAAACGGTTACACAATCAGCCAGGGAGCATCCTGTACGTAAATTTTAGCCTTTCACGCCGATTTACTGCTCTGTATATTTCTCTCGTATCAACTTCTCCTCTCACATATACTTCCGCCGGTGTATATCAGCCCCGTCTTAAATCATATTCACTATCTTCGGTTTTCCTTCTCATCGTCGTTTCTCATATCGCGTGGTTTGTAAAAATTCTCCCTTTCTTCCACTGCAAATACCACTGTCGGTAATTGCTTCGGGATGCCCTGGCCATTAACTTTTAATGCTCAATTAGGTTTATGTGTGAATCAACTTTTGCGCATGTAGAAACGAATACACACGCATGCACTGAGTGTGCAAGAGAGAAAGAAGGAGCGAGCGAGAGAGAGAGAGAGAGAGAGAGTGAGAGTGAGACGCAGACAATTTCTGCAATCGAGAAACGAAAAAAAAAAAAAAAAAAACTCCATAAATAAGAAATCATATTGTCTTGTCCTTCAATCAACTGTAAATGATAGGTTGTAATCGTGCGAAACAGTTGCTACTTCAACGTTGTAATCGTGATTTTACTTTACTTGCGAATATTCCAACGACGAAACAAATTAGGCGACGCAATTCGAATGTCTAATACCTCAAGCTTATTTAGCGTCCGATGATAGTATCGCGACACTGCTCACTCTGAATGTACGCGTTGCATAAGCAAAGTAAATCAGATTTATCAGCCTGCCTGGAAGAAACAAAAACGGACGCAGCAAAAAGAGCACGTGAACTTGAAGAAACGAGAGAATGCATATATGGCACCGAGTAGCCTCCGCTTAAGCGTCCGCCGTTTAACACTAAACCTATCGAGCCTTCGTGTATTCCTATCGTAAGGGGTCACACAACCACTTTGCCATTTACTATATATTTGCCTTCGACATCGGAAGCTAACCAGAATTTTTATACCAAATTTGTTCGGTTTATCGGGCATGTACCGTGTAAATCTACACCTTGCTTTCGTTGGGAACAATTGTTCATCTGTAGACAGATATGGTCCCGGTTTACAACAGTTTTGACAGTTATAAACCTTGGTTTATAACAGCTCGATTTGTTCTCAATGAATTTGCGCCAAACTTCGGAAATCAAGACAAATTTATCCAAGGGCTGGCTTTGTTGATTTCTGTTATCAAACCGAACGAACCTTGTAACTTTTATAGTCACAGTATTGGAGAAAAATACCGGGCCCCATTTCTTTTCTTTTTATAACGTTGCATATTTATAATGTAGCGAGAAGATCGCTAGGCATACCCTCGAATAAACAATTTTCTTTAGATAGTAAATAAGACGATAGAAGACAAAGACTATAAATGCAGTGCAAAGAATATAAATAGGGTCAAATGACCCCTCGCGATAGGCAAGACAGACTACAAATTTTTTTCAAAAAGTAAACAACAAGAGAAAAAGTGATTATTAAATGTACGTATGATATAAGAAAAGCCGTCAAGTTAAATGGCGATAACATCGTTATTAACGCAAGATATTCTAAACGAAATTTGAAAAAGGGTCATTTGACCCTCCGCTCGGTAGGTTTAGCGTTAAGCGGAGAGGTGTATTTTGAGAATTGTGAAATATCGGTAATATCGCTCGCTTCTGTATCGTCGTGTTTCACGCGACCTTCGGCACGTCGCAGCGCTACGTAAGGTAGCGTAGAGCGAGATAATTTTAAGAATTGGTGGGGACTACTGTAAATTCGAGTAAACGTGTCATCCTGCGTTTTTCGACAGTTCGGTTAGCGTTTACTTTTCTAACGAGACAAGACTTTAGGGGAAAAGGGGGACGTCGCGTAAATGGGTAAACGCGACGCGCGTACGTGGTGTTCTGCCGTCTCGCTGTCGAGCAACAGATAAACTGCATATCGATAGTCGGTAATAACGGGGCTCGCGCGCGGTTTGTTACAAACCAAATGGGACAATCAATACTCGCGAATATTATTTCATACGAATTAGACAACGCGCGCGACCTTGAACAAAGTAATTACCGATCCATTTGCTAACGCGTACCGAATACTTTAGGATATCACGTCCATCGCGTTGCCAGTTGGATCGTATCCTCGCGAGTAACTCGATTGTAGTCTCATAGTAACCTAAAACGCGTACATACATA